TATATATATACACACATATATATACATATGTATAAGATAATTTCATGAATAAGTGCCAGGCAATCTCCTCTTAAAAAAATTATATTTTCGAAAATATGCATATTGAATTAAAATCCTGTAAGTCAAAATATCGTTATATAATGATTTTATGGCGAGTCACTGTATAGTCATATTGAAGTCATAAAGTTTCAGTGATCAAACTCTGATATTTTCCCGTCATCTTGACGTCACCATGACATCATTTTGACTTTTTGTTCTCCTTGGGATATGACTATATATGTAATCAAGACTGTTTAGTTCGCTTCACCTTGTATTGTTCTTAAAACATGACTAACAAATTAGTTCGAGCCCAACCACCACAGTGCTTACACGTATATATTTTATAACTCGACTCTGGTGCATTACGGAACTTTAATAACTCGACTCCGTCTTATTCGACGACGATAATTGACTCAGGTGCGTTACTGAACTTTTAACTACTTAACAAAATCCTTTTATTTATTTATTAATCTACATTTTTCATAACTACCATATGTCCTTATTGTTGATTTGCAGTATCACTCGAAAAGGACCCAAAATAGGGACGAAACGTTGTGTAATAAATCGATTAAATAATTAGCCAGTTGGGTTGACTATTAGTTTCCCGTCTCATTTAAAAATATTGGACTTGTGCAATAAAAAAGAAAGAATTTACAAAAAAAATTACAAAAAACGAAAGTATTTACAGATATTAAAATGACTGATCAAGAGGTAAGTAAGAATTGGAATTTGACTAAAATAAACTTAAACCTCAAAAATACCGTTGTTGTGTACTTTAATATGTATGTTTTCAGCAAATAAATGTTGTTTACACATGCGGATGCTGCGAGGAAATTTGCGAGGCAGAGGAATATTTAAAACATAAGTGTTTAGAAGGATATAATCAATGTTGGATGGAAAAATCAACTAATTATTTTTATCCCTTGTTAGGTATGTAAAAATGTTCTAAACGAAGGAAATTTCTAGAAAACATCATTGATAACTAACAAAACTCGTCACTAAAATTTAAAGAAGTTTTCTCATATCGTTTTGAAGTTATCAAGTTCCCAAATCCGAGGTCATACCAAAAATGCACTTTTGCAAGTAAATAACTAAAAAAATAAACGGTTAAATGTTTTAATCGCAAATTTTAATCGCAAACATTGTACAGCTAAGACAATTTTTTTACAAATTTCACTGAAATAGAATATTTTTCAATTTTTAGAGATATAGCAAGCTGCAGAAACTCCTTAAACATATCACAATTTTACATTTCAGATGATGGAGTTACTATTATTGGCAAAGACGGAATGAAACAGATTGTCGCAGAAAATCTCGAAAATCTAGATCCAAATATACGTAAGTTCCAGTCTACCATGAGCGTGGACTCTCTTGCATTCTTCATCTCTTGCACCCTTGTCCTGAAACTGTTTCCTATACCTATCTTATCTACTTATTGTTAGTCTATAGGTGGCATTCCTTGCCCTTCAATTCTATGGCATCCCTCACCTTTTGGAATGAGCTGTCGCCCTACCCTAAAAGTCGCTCGTCTTCTTGTCCATTCGAGCCGTGGATAATGTTTCTCATTCCGTGGAGTCCATGATATATTCCTCACATAATTTTTAGAAATAAAATAATAATTGCAGACTTCTTGTCTGATAACAGAAACGTCACGATTAAGACAATCTTCAAAAAAGAGGAAAACATGTACTGCAAAAAAAGCAATAGATAAAAAATTGATGGACCTAGAAGTGGAGACTCTGATCCACGCCGTCGAAGCCAGAGTTCCTCTGTGGAATTTTACAATCCCGTTGGAAGAAAGAAGTCGAGAGACTGTAGGACAACTATGGAATGAAGTGTCCGAAGAGCTAGATGGTAAGTAAAAAGGATTCATCTAAAACCTTTCTTTACATTAAATCTTTACAGATGTCTTTCAACTTCAGATTTAATTGTGTTTGATTTGTGTGTAGGCAAACTGAATGCAGTAGATGCAAAAATGAAATTTAAGAGCTTGCGAGACACCCACCGCAAAGTCATCCAAAGTGAGCAACATCGCAGTGGTGCTGCAAGAACTCCACAGAAAGAGAAATGGAAATACTATGACATAATGGAATTTTTGCGAGATACTTGTTTAATACGCTCGTAAGACTTTTTTTTAAAAGAATGTATTACTTGTGACATTTGAAGTCCGGCAGTCTGGCGCTGTGGATCTATTCAATGATTCACGCGCGGCACGTGCAAGTAAAAAGCAAACAAATTGCGATATTTTGTTCATCGTTATCATTGGTCTTTTGTTTGCAGAACTGCAACAAACGTTAGTCGGACTACTTCCATTACTCACATGTCGGATGAAGATGCCAATATTCTTGAACCACCAAGCGATATCGACGCAGATACTGATGATATACTGACGAATAGCACTTTGATTACAGGTATATGTATGTTATTCATAGTATGTATGTATGTATTTATAATAGTATGTTTTTATTTAGAGGAAGCCAAAAGAAGCCTTTTTTAATCTGAATTTTTCCCCTTTTTGTTTGTTTGAAATTAAGGCTCTTTTTAGATAATCTTGCGTATTTTAACAGTATACATCATTTCGAAGTAACTAAAAAAATAATTGTTTCAGAAAAACAGATCTCTAAAAGGGCCCGTAAGAATTCCAATAAAGATTCTGAGGAAGCGGCAAAGGCTATAAATAGGATTGCAGATGTGTTGTGCAATAACGAATCACCCGTCGTCTTACCTTCGATCTGTTCCGGAAGTAGATGAGGTCGAATCAATGTTGCATGCAGTAGGGCTACAATTACGGCGTCTAGAATATAATGACCGAATGGAAGTACTGATGAACGTCGTACAATTTGCTTATAACCAAATCAAAGAGTGTTTGTGAAAAATGCATTTTCGACAGAAAAATGTGTTTCTTTGGAAAACTCATTTCTTGAGACCAAAAAACGTGTTTATACCGAGAAAAAAAATCATAAAATTAAACAAAAAGGACTGTAGTTTATCAGAATGTTCACTAATTTTACTATGGATTTTTTTCGTGTAGGAAAAAGGAAATATTGGGGCAGAAAATACGGATTAAAAAACACGTTTTATTAAAAAAATATATATTTGTGACACATCATTTCTTTGCTTGCGGAAATCTGTTTTCACGAAGATTCACTTTTTTTAAGAAAACAAAAACTATATTTATTCGAGGAAAAATGATTTCGTCAAGTAAAGAAATGTATTATATTTTGACAAAAAATTAATTTGCAAGGAAATCAATTGCGAGCAAAAAGAGACGAACCTTTAAAAAAATGAAATTTTTCAACCACGAATTAAAAATGTGGAAAAATTGTAGTTTTAATTCGATTATTTCAAATTCTTGCTGGAAAGATATTTTTTCCGTATATAATATAGCTAAGAAAATTTCTGATTCTTCTAATTTTTTGCAACATTTTTAAAAATTAATCTTTAGAGTGTATAAATTTAGATTAAGAGCAAAAGAAAGGGCGAATGAAATAAATATAAAAGATTATTATTCAAGTTCATTGTATTTTATTTTTAAAATCCCTAGTATTGACGTTAATTCTCGGTATATTCTTTGAAATTAATTTTTACCTCGTCCTTATTCATTCGAATTGTCAAAGAAAATATTATTTTCCATAAAAAAAATTTTAGTTATGGCAATTGTTATCATCTCTAGCATTGTTTAATTCTCTAATCAAGGGTTTTCCACTACTTTTTAAAATGCCAGTTCTTAATTTAAAAAATACAAAAGTGATTCTACGTATTTTTGAAAAATGCAGTAACAGTGTTGATTTGTCTCGTCCTTCATTGACCTATTGTCTTATAATAAATATTAAAATCCATAGCACAACACAATAATTGTTAGCGTATTAATTATTCGTCGCGATTATACTGTCAATGAACAGCACCTTCTGCATTGAAAAATTCACAAAATTCTTCTCTAATGCCAATGGCAGCACGACTACTGTTATGATTACCATGCACTCTAACGTCTTGGAAGGCTGAATTATTTATTTCTTGTCTCCATAGTCCAGGAATGAAACCATTGCAACTGTCTTGGTCGACCATATTTGGCGGAATGTATTCTTCACGATCACGCTTCCGAAGCCAATTGTGGAGACATATGATGGCTTGGACCATTTGTATTGTGTTTTCTACGGTAGCTTCAATGGGTTTCTTCAGAAGTCTCCACTGCGTAACTAATATTCCGAAGGAATTTTCTACTACTCTTCGAGCACGGCTAAGACGATAATTGAAAATGCTTTTAGCTTCATCAAGACCTTCTTTTCCAGGAAATGGTCGGAGCAAATAATCTGTTAATTGAAATGCTTCATCACCTACAAGAACATATGGCAAAGGCATTCCATCAACAGTTAGCCGCTCCGGTGCAGGCACATTCATTGTTTTTTCGTTGAATTTTTGACCCATTAGAGAGTCTTTAAATATGCCACCATCGCTACGTCGACCATAGGCGCCTATGTCAACGAATGTAAACGCGTAATTGGCATCACAGATACCTAGCAATACAATACTATGACTATTTTTATA